TGCAGGTCCCAAGGATAAAACTCCAGTCATCAGGTTTGGCTGCAAAGTGCCTTTGCCATGGGAACCATCTTGTCAGCCCCGAGGTGCTCCTTCATAGAAAACAACGTAGCCCTCTGCATTGCACCAGCGTGCTGAAGAGCAAAGTGAGGAGAACACTTAGGAAGCAATCCAAGCGGAGCTGCCTCAAAACGGGAAAAAGGGAGCCTTGACAGTGATTGGAAGACAACTTATTAAATCAGCTTAGTGACGTGCCATCGGTCATTTCTACTTCTCAGGAGCCTGTGTCCTTCTCACACCTGTGAGGTCCACAGTGAGTTGACCTGGCTTGGGCTGGCTGAGCACGGTGGGTTTGAGAAAGCAGAGGGGAAGGGGTGGGGAATTTGAGCCTTAAGAAAGCGGTACTCAGGAGCGCGCCCACCTCAACCCTGAAATGCTGATGAGGCAAGTGGGGGAAACGGCATTTTGTATGATTCTAGCGCTGGGGGGGCTGTTGGCGGGATTAGCTGCCCATTTGTCTGCAAACTGCTCTCTCCTCCTCCGTGTTCCCCACCGCGCAGCAGCAGCAGCTGGGGACCCGACCCCCCAGGAGCGGATCGCAGTGGCAGGGCGTGGGCTATAAAAACAACAGTTTTGTCTGGGAACAAAGGGCATCAGTGAAGGCAGTGTCTTCAGCCTTTGATTCGGATGAGAAGGGGAAGGCAGGCCCGGCTTCCTTCTGGTCCTCTCCCTTAGCAGCGGATTAACCGGCCAGTTAGCAAGATAGGATCCCGCCGGTGCAGAGGTCCCCTGCAGGCCTGTCTTTGAGGACGCCACTCAGGTCTGTATCTGACATTGCCCCAAGCCACTTGGAGCCACTTTAGAGGTCCGAGAGTCCCTCAAAGGCATTATAGAGTCTGAGTCAAAGACACGAAGTGAGCCCAGGAGATGTTCACAACGGTGAGGGAACCAACGGGACAAGGACCCAAGAAAAGAACCGAGGTCTCAGAAGCAGAGCAGAGACCCGGGTCAAAGTTCAATCTCAACAGCTCTGAGGAAGAGCTGGCTGATTAAGAGCAGGGCCAGAATTCTTGGGCACAAGCTTTTTTTTTTTTTTTTTTTTGGTTTTACGAGACAGGGTTTCTCTGTATTATTTTGGAGGCTATCGGTCCAGCCTAGCCTCGAACTCACAGAGATCCGCCTGCCTCTATACGTTTGACAATTCCAATCAAGCCACTCTATGTATGGTATGATATAGGCTGGGCAGTTCAAACTGGTGAGATCCTGTCTAAAAAAAAAACAAAAACAAAAAGAACCAGGCTGTAGCTCATGGATAGAAAGAGCATCGGGCTGGCATGGGCAAAGTCCTAGGTCCCATGACCAGAACTGCAAAATAATAAAATAATAATAAATGGGGGGCTGGAGAGATGGCTCAGAGATTAACAGCACTGACTGTTCTTCCAAAGGTCCTGAGTTCAATTCCCACCAACCACATGGTGGCTCACAACCACCTTGAATGAGCTCTGATGCCCTCTGCTGGCATGCAGGTAGAAGATTGTATACATAATAAATAAATAAAATAAAAAATAAAAAGACAGCCGGGCGTTGGTGGCGCACACCTTTAATCCCAGCACTGGGGAGGCAGAGGCAGGCGGATCTCTGTGAGTTCGAGGCCAGCCTGGTCTACAAGAGCTAGTTCCAGGACAGCCTCCAAAGCCACAGAGAAACCCTGTCTCGAAAAACCAAAAAAAATAAAAATAAAAAAATAAAATAAAAAGACAGAAAAAAATAATAATAAATGATAACAACACAAGGAGGAAAAGGAATGTAAACATGAAGCAAAGGCCAGATGTGCTGAGTCACCTTTCATCCTAGCACTCGGCAGGGATCACGGGCAACTTCTTTGTACTTATTCCCTGAGGAAAAATGGTTTCCCCTCCTGAAGCAGGCAGCCCGTGATCACGCTGGGGAACGCTCGCCTCTTGTTGTTTTCCTGTTTGTTTGAGATGCTATGTCGTTCACAATCCTCCTTCCTCAGCCTCCAAAATGCCAGGGTTACAGGCATAAGCTGGAGCACCCTGCCCCCCACAACTTAATTTTATGGTTGGGGGGAGGATTTCAAAACAGGGTTTCTCTGTGTAGCCCTAGGTGTCATGGAACTCACTCTGTAGAGCAGGCTGGCCTCAAACTCACAGAGATCCTCCCGAGTGCTGGGATTAAAGGCGTGCGCCACCACCTCCTGGCATTTTTTAAAAACATTTTCTTGTTTATCATGTGTTTTGGAGGGGGAGGAGTCTGTGCAAGAGGGCAATCAGCAGGGGTTGGCTCTTTCCCTCCACTCTGTGGGTCTCAGAGGTCAAAGCTAGGTTGGCAGAGTTGATGGCAGCACTCTTCCCGGACCCAGAACCCCATAAATGGAGTGGGATCCGCTGCAGTGTTGTGCTGCAACCCCAGCGCCCAAGAGACGAGACGGGAGTTCAGTACAAGCTGCCCTAGGCTGAGCTATGTATCGACTTTAAAAAAACAGGTGGGGGTGGATAACGGCTTGTCACAGGAGCCTGGTGACCTGAGGTCGATCCCCAGAACCCACAGAGAGCTGGAAGGACAGAAGCCACCCCACAGAACCCACACAGAGCTGGAAGGACAGAAGCCACCCCACAGAACCCACACAGAGCTGGAAGGACAGAAGCCACCCCACAGAACCCACACAGAGCTGGAAGGACAGAAGCCACCCCACAGAACCCACACAGAGCTGGAAGGACAGAAGCCACCCCACAGAAGTCAGCACACCCTCCGACTTCCACATGCTCACGCTCAGGATAAATGAAAGCATTTAAAAACAAGTGAAAAGCAGGTTGGACATTTAGCTCCATGGTAGACGCTGCTGGCTGTGGCACGTGAGACCCTGGGTTCAATCCCTAGTCCTGGCAAAGAACGAAACAAAATTATAGGTCAAGTGGTGGCGGCTCACACGGGCACACACCATTAGTCCCAGCGCTTGGGAGGCAGAGGCAGGTGGATCTCTCTTAGCTCAAGGCCAGCCTGCTCTACAGAGCGAGTTCCAGGGCAGCCAGAGCTGTTACACAGAGAAACCCTGTCTTGAAAAATAAACAACAACAAAAACAAAGAAAGAAAAAAGTAATAAATAAAAACAATAATAAAGAAAAAGAAAAAATCTCTGGTGCATAGTTGTAATTCCAGCAGAGGGGGACCCTGAGACTAAAGGATTGGAGGCTAGCCTGGGCTACATAGTAAGACCCAGTCTCAAACAAAACAAAAAACCTTTTTGGAAGACAGTGAAGATCTAAGATCTGTTTGGATAGGGACCGGCTAGACAGCTCATCGGGTTTTTAAAAAAGGACTTGCCACGCAAACCTGAAGACTTCAGTTCAAACCCTGGGACCCATGGAAGGAGAGAGCAGAGCAGACTCCACTAAATGATCCTCTGCTATGCACACCCAGCCCACACAATAACAAATAGTGAGAATAAACTTTAAAAATAATTCCCTCAGATATAACGAGGTATTGGTACCATATGGTACTCTTGGATGATCTTGGGTAATAACTGAGAATTGTTAGGGTAAAATTAAGGCCACGAGAGAACATTACTCCTTTTACATATAATGCAGTTTTAAGAGGGATTCACTGCCATCATCAGTCTTGGAGGCAAACCCCACATCTGCTGAGCCATCCTACGGGTCATCCTCTTATTTTTGAGACATAACTTCAGAAAATTGCCCTGGCTGGCCTTAACTTAATTAAAATTCTTTTTGTTTTTATTCTTTAAATTTTAATTCTTCATCTTATTTTGCATGTATGTTGTCTGTGTGTGTATATGCGTACCATGTGCATGCCTGGTGCGCATGGCAGTTAGAAGAGGGCATCAGATCCCCTGGAACTGGAGCTACAGGTGGCTATAAACTACCGCGTGGGTGCTTGGATTTGGGTCCCCCGCAAGAGCAGCAAGTGTTCTTAACCACTGAGCCACCTCTCCAGCCCCTGTTCTGTTTTGGGGGGCTGAAAATGACCTTTAACCCCCAGTCCTCTTATATCTACCTCCCAGACCCTGGGGTTACAGACATGCACCACCGTGCCCTGTGTTACGTGGTGCTGGGAACAGAGCCCAGTTCTTCACAGACGCTAGGCAGCTCTACCAAGGGAACCATACCCCAGCCCTGACCTTGGTCTTTTGATATCTCTGCCTCAGCATCCCAACTAGTAGCAGGGACTATAGGTCTGCTCGACCACAAGCAGCTTGCAGGGGACACATGTGGGTGGCCTGGCACACGTGTGGGGTCAGGCGACAGATTTGTGGGGTCTTCTGACTTTACATGAGTTCAGTGGACAGGACTCAGGTTGTCAGGGTTACACGACAGGGTCTCTAGCTACTGAGTCATGTCTGCCGCTTGATTTTGTTTTCAAGACAGAGTCCCACTGTGCAGCCCCAATGGACCTCAGACTTAGGTCCTACTGGAGAAATCCAACATTCTGTTTGCACAGGTGTGAGACACTATACCAGGCTCCTGCATCTGTTATGCTGTCATTTCCCCTACGTGTGTGTGTGTGTGTGTGTGTGTGTGTGCACCTATGTATGTGTATGGGTACTAATACATTTACATATACGTACATGCATGGACTGGAGAGGCGACTCTGCCGTTCTTGTGGAGGACCTAAGTCCCACTCCGAGCATCCACATGGTGCTTTACAACGTAGCTCTAGTTCCAGGGCATCTGAGCCTCTCCTGCACTGTACTCACATGGCATGCAACTATACATGCAGACAGATACTCATACTGAAAACAAATAAATAGGAAAGTGCTTTTTAAAATATTTTAGGGCTGGAAAGATGGCTTAGTGTTGAAGTGCGTGTGTGTTCTTGCAGAAGACCCAAGCTTAGTTCCCAACGCTCATGTCAGATGACTTAACAATTACCTGTGACCCCAGCTGCCCAGGACCCAACGCCTCTGGCCGCCACAGGTTCCTGCACACACATGCACACATATTGTACACACAGAGACACATATGTGATTTTAATGCACAGAAAAATAGTTTACTGCACATGTAGTTGCTCAAACCATTAGGAAAGAGGCGTCTTTAAAAGCAGACTCACAGCTTTTTACAGGAGAACAAGTCACCACTTGTCCTGCAGGGCACACTAAAGTAGACACACGGCTTCAGTGCACTAATGCTCTTCTCCTGCTACCGGAAAATGACGAAGTTTAGGTTTGTTGGGATTATTTTTCAGCAGCCAATCAGCTAGCCAACTCTATGGAAAAGAAAAAAAAACTAAAATTAATGAACCTTTAACTATTTCCTTTCTGTGTATAGTGAACCTATCAACTAGAAAATTAAGTATCTTGCTAGAAAAGATTTTTGATACAGGATCTCACAGCCTAGGCTGACTGGAATTTACTCTGTAGACCAGGCTGGCCTTGAGCTCCTAGAGATTCCCAGCTGCCTCTGCTCCCTGAATGCTGAAATTAAAGGTGTGTACCACCACATCCAGATAAACAGCCTATTTGTTTGTTTTGTTTTTGTTTTCTTTGAGACAGGGTTTCTCTGTGTAGCCCTGGCTGTCTTTAAACTCACTCTGTAGACCAGGCTGGCCTCAAACTCAGAGATCTGCCTAGGATTAAAGGCATATGCCACCATTGCCCTGCCCCAATTTAGAGGGATCTTTACTATCCTGAAAGGTGGCAAGGGACTGCATATAGAGAGATGGTATCCTCCAGTGTCATGGTATCATTGGAGTTTAGTGGAAGCTGAGGCTCAGACCAGACTACTGGTCTACCTTCAGAGGGTTGAAGAATGTGAACCCAGGGCAGATGTTGGGCTAAAGCAGGAGACAGCAGAGCAAGGAGGAAGGGACGAGTTGTTACCTCACTAGACCCAGGCCATAGCAGTCATCATAACAAAACATCCAAGCTTTTAAGTTTTGTGGCCAACCTGGACAATACTAATAAGAAACATATGCAGGCTGGTGGTGGTAGCACACACCTTTAATCCCAGCACCTGGGAGGCAGAGGCAGGTGGATCTCTGTGAGTTTGAATCCAGCCTGGTCTACAGAGAGAGTTCCAGGACAGGTTCCAAAGCTACACAGAGAAACCCTGTCTCAAAAAACCAAACCCTCACAAAGAAACATATGCAATGACGTTTTTGCAATATAGTAAAATCATTATTGTATACTATTAATTCTTGACTGCAAAATGAGTAAGAGTATAGGTTTGGGCTGGGCTGTATCATATGCCTTTAATTGCAGCACTCAGAAGGCAGAGAAGATGGATTTTTGTGAGTTTTAGGATAGCCTGGTCTACTGGTGTACTGGTCTACACTGCCTGGCTGCTAAACAGCTTTTAAAACCACTTTAAGAATAAAAATAATGGGGTTGGAGACATGGCTCAGTAGTCCAGAGCACTGACTGTTCTTCCAGAGGTCCTGAGTTCAGTTCCCAGCAACCACATGGTGGCTCCCAACCATCTATAATGAGATCTGGCGCCCTCTTCTGGCATGCATGCAGAACATGGTATACAGAATAAATAAAATCTTTTTTAAAAAAGGAATAAAAATAATGGCTGATTCTGGTGTAAGTTCAAGGCCAGCAGGTAAAGGAGGTGTTTGACCAAAATACATTATCTACTAGTAAGTTATAGGTCAGCGAGGACTAGTAAAAACAATAGCATTCAAGGCCAGGCTGATCTACATAGCAAGTTCTAGGGCAGCCTGGGCTTCACGGTGAGACTCTGTTTCCCCCACCCCCAACAAACAAAAAATACCTCCAACCAAACAATAAGTAAAAAAAATCACCCAGTACTATGTACATGTATAAAAATGTCATATTGAAACTTATTGTGTAAGAAAGTAGAATCCCAGGATGAAACTCAGCTCATGAGGCTTGCACAGTAAGCGCCTTACCAGTCTCTTGCCAATTCACCCAGGTCCCTCCCGCCTCTTTGTTTTGTGTCCGTGTCCGCGTGTGTGTCCGAGTGTGTGTGTGTGTGTGTGTGTGTGTGCGTGTGTGCATGTACGTGTGTGTATTTATATTTGGGTTTGGGGTTTGTTTTTTTTTTTTTTTTTTTTTTTTTGGTTTTTCGAGACAGGGTTTCTTTGTGGCTTTGGAGGCTGTCCTGGAACTCACTTTGTAGACCAGGCTGGCCTTGAACTCACAGAGATCCGCCTGCCTCTGCCTCCGGGTTTGGGGTTTTTGTGTGTTTGTTTTTTGTTGTTTTTGAGGTAGGGTCTCACTATGTACCCCTGGCTGCAGTGGAACCCACTCTACAGACCAGCCATGAACTCACAGATCCGCCTGCTTCTACCTCCCAAGTACTGAGAGTGAAGACATGGGCCACCATGACCAGAACACCTTTTGAAATTCTTTATTTTGAGACAAATTGTCCTGTTTGGTGGCTACAGACTCAATATGTAGACCAAGGAAGCCTCAGACCTTGTGAGTCTTTAGACCAAAAGAATAAATTTTAGCTGGGCATGGTGGTGCCATCTCTAATCCCAGCATTCAGGAGGCAGAGGCAAGTAGATCTTTGTGAGTTGAAGGCCAGCCTGGTTTAGGACAGCCAGGACTATATAGTGAGACCCTGTCTCAAATACAAATACAGTTTTACACATGAAAACGATAAACAACATTCTCTAGTGTTAATAAAACAGTATCTTACAAAGGGGTCTGCTGGTTTATTCTTGCAAAGGTCCGTGAGTCCTTGAAGTAGGGTTGGTGTTACGTACAAATTTAAATAGTCCTTAGCAGCTTGTCCAATTGGAATGGGCTCAATAATCACTGCAAATACAAATAATTTCTCACTAAAAAGCAAATATCTGTGGTTAAACATTATGTAGCTATTAAAAAGGATGCCTTCAAGAGTTTTGAACTGTTGTGAGACACTCATGTCACCGTGAGTTTTAAGTTTGATTTTTATTTCTTTATATTTACAAAAGTGCTGTAATTGTTACTATTAATGACTTTCTCATAGTCTCACGATGGTCCAGGTTGGCCTGAACTCACTACTGGCATCAGGTCTTCCTGCTCGGCCACTTGACTCCTGAGGTTACAGTTGTGAGCCACCACGCTCTCCCTGTCCTGAAGTTTCATTTACCACAGTACTTGCTGAACTCCTGATCACACCGAGAAATAAATATAATTTAAATACAAAATAACAATAACTACCACACACAGAAGAACTACAGTAAAGCCAAACCAACTCCTGTGACCACTCAGGATGCTGAAACAGCTGGATCAAAGCCAGGGTTGGCTGTGGACAATTTATGGAGACCGCAAATTGCCTTGGACCAGAAGGTCAAGCTGCCGTCCATGCCTGAAATCCCAGATCCACCTGTCTCTGCCTTCTGAGTGCCGAGTCTGGTTTTTGTTTTGTTTTGTTTGTTTTGATTTTGTGCTTTGTTTGTGTTGAGATAAGGTATGGGGTAGCCTAGACTGGCTTCCAACAGGGTAAAACCTTGAACATCTAGTCCTCCTGCCTTCCTCTCTCCAGGGTTAAAAATCCCAGGAGCTCAGCAAGCACCCTACAGACTGAGCCACAGCCCAGACCCTGCCGCTTCGAGTTCGGATGACTCCTAACCTGGAAATGTAAGGAAGCATATTTGGAGGAAAACTCTTTCTCTCCAGCCGCAGCAGGCGTGAGAGACTCACCTTCTGGAAACATGAACCGAATCTCTCTCTCTGAGGCGGCGAAGTCGTTGCTCCCGTGAAGTGCGTTCCGCAGTTCATCTGTGCCGTAAATCGCCCTTAGACTGAAGCAGACGAAGGGTGTTGTCCTCCGCTCTGACTCCCTGCCTTACTTCACAGGAGAGCAGGGGGAGCCGCATGTGGAGGGCGGAGACTACGTGGGGAGAGGTTTTCTCCTGCCCGCTCGCGCGTGGGTCCTGAACCAAATCCAGATCAGCCCACTCCGCAGCAAGCGCTTCACTCGCTGAACCCGTTTGACAGTGTTTTTCTGTTTGTTTGTTTTTAGACAGGGCATCCCTCCCTAATCTAACTTTAAGCTTTGCATCTACTTAGATGACTGTCAAATAAATACATTTATGCGTGCTGGCGAATACACTGTGAAAACAGGGATTCTCTAGGCGAAGTAGGGTGTTTTGTGAGAAAGAGATATAAAATCAAAGTACAGTAACTGACTGTTTCTTGGATTTTTTTTTTTTTGAGACGGGTTCTCATTATATATCCTTGGCTGGTCTGGAACTTGCTATGTAGACCAGATTAAACTCTCAGAAATTTGTCTGCCTCTGTCTCTTGAGTACTGAGATTAAAGGTGTGCACCACCATGTCCAGATAATGAATCTAAAAATCTCTATTTTCCCCACAAAAACTCCTACTTCAGGATCAGTGCGTGTGCCCAGTTGCTAAAAAGGCACTGGTGGAGGAAAGAGCTGACTCCCGGAGTTGTCATCTGACCTCCATGTGTATGAGGCACATACACCCACACATTAAGTAAATAAACATAATGTCAAAAACCCTACTTCATAGCCGTGTATCTGGCTCATGCCTGTCATCCCAGCATGGTGTGTGTGTGTGTGTGTGTGTGTGTGTGTGTGTGTGTGTGTGTGTGTGTGTGTGCACGCGTGGGGGGAGGGAGAGAGTGCTGAGACGGGAGGATCATCATAAATTCAAAACTATCCTGGACTATACAGTGAATTACAGGCCCACTTAGGCTACAGAGTAAGACCTAGTCTCCAAAAAAAAAAAAACAAAAACAAAACAAAACAAAAAAAAAACTGGGTGATGGTGGCGGCGGCGCACACCTTTAACCCCAGCACTCGGGAGGCAGAGGCAGGAGGATCTCTGTGAGTTCGAGGCCAGCCTGGTCTACAGAGTGAGTTCCAGGACAGCTAGAGCTACACAGAAAAAAATCAATCCATAAATCCAACTGTAGCGGCAGTTTAATGCAAGGCTAACCAGCCATCAGTGAGATATTCTCTGCTGCCTTCTGTAGCACTTGGTATTAAGATAGCACTGAAGGGGGGCTGGAGAGATGGCTCAGAGGTTGAGGGCACTGGCTGCTCTTCCAGAGGTCCTGAGTTCAATTCCCAGCAACGACATGGTGGCTCACAAGCGTCTGTAATGAGACCTGGTGCCCTCTTCTGACACAGGCATACATGCAGACAGGACACTGTCTACATAATAAACAAATAAGCCGGGCGTTGGTGGCGCACGCCTTTAATCCCAGCACTCGGGAGGCAGAGGCAGGTGGATCTCTGTGAGTTCGAGACCAGCCTGGACTACCAAACGAGTTCCAGGACAGCCTCCAAAGCCACAGAGAAACCCTGTCTCAAAAAAACCAAAAAAAAAAAAAAGTAGGAAATACATAATAAACAAATAAATAAATCTTTTTTTAAAGATAGCACTGAAATGGTGAGCAGTCAAATTTGCTGCCGTACACCAGAGAAGAGTTCATTTAGGAGAGCTCCTCCGTGATAGAAAACCCTCATTTGAAAAGATGTGGGGTTTGGGGCTTTTTGTCTGTTTCTTTTGTTTTCATACCTTAAGAGGGAAATTACCTGTCTGGGTGTGTCTCCTTGGCTACCAAACTATTAGGTGGTCCCAGAAGCTCTTTCCAGTATGAGATGGCATTATGTCTAGCTAGTATCATAGCCACAAGAGGTCCAGAGCTCATATAAGCTGTTAAGTTTGGGAAAAACATTTTCCCATACTGTTCCACATAAAAGTTACTACAGTGCTCAGGGCTTAGATGTAGTTTTCGTCTCTGTAAACAAAACAAAGCCAACAAAATCATTTAAAGTAACAGCTCAGTAGAAGCTCATTAAGTCTTTAATAGCATGCCTGTAATTATCTTTGCATTATCATACAGAAATGATATTTAAATTAAGTATTTGAGAGGAAGTATTTGTCCCACTTTAAAAAAAAAAATGATCCCTGGGCTGATGAGATGTCTCCACGGGGAAAGGTGCTTGCTGCCAAGACTAAGGCTCTAGAGTCGATCCCCAGAATTACATGTTGGGAAGAGAAGGGAGAGAGTCCCTAAGTTTTCAGACCGAAACATATATACGCACATGCGCACATGTAAATAATCAAACATTTTTAAGAGTGTTTGCTGGCAAGCATGAGGAGCAGAGTTTGGATCCTGGCACCTGCATTTCAAGAGGGTATGCACCAAGCGCCCGTAACTCCACCTCTAAGAGTTTGAAGCCCTCTTCCGGCATCCACACACACGTGTAGGCACACAGACACACAGTCACCCAGACATCGAGGCAAGCTTGGTCTGCACAGTGAGGCCGTCTAAGGCTGCAGAGTAAGTCGTTGTCTCTGAAAACACAACAGACTGGAATATTCGTTTAGCTGCAGGCATGATGTGATAGGGTATTATAGGAATATTCTGACAAACTCTGCAGCCGACTCCCAAGAAGTTTAACTCTCACGTGACCCCTTGCTAGCATATCAGTACTCCACCTCCCTCCCTCAGCCGGCACACAAACTCCATTTGCCTTGAGATGGGCTCTTACTATGTAACCCAGGCATGCCTCACTCCCCGTGTAGTCCCTGTATGTCTGCCCTGGAACCCTGCATCCTTTCTCTCCCTAGACACAGGCATGCCCTGCAGCCATTCTGCAGGTTTCTTAGCGCCTGCTACATAACTTTAAAAATTTAGAGTTCATCTTTAAAGCTGACACAAAAATTAGTGATCCTATGGGTTGCTTTAAAATGAAATCTGATGAAGACTCTTTTTGAAATTTGTTTGAGAAACAGTGATACCCAATATGTGGGACAGAAACTCAGTTCATGACGAAGAAAAGGCTGCCACCTGCTGGAAGGAGAGAAGTTTTCAGAGCCTAGTTCTCAAACAAACCTTGCAGACACCCCACAAGATCAAGGAGATGAACTAGCTGCAGGAGTCAGAGTCCTCGGGACAGAAAGTAGCTGGTGGTTATAAGGGGATGGAAACACGCCTCCCCCACTCTTAAAAGTAAGTTCGTGGTTTCAGGTTGCAAACTACACATGAATAGTGGTGAGGGTCACGAAACAATGTGAATGTATCTGATACCACTGCACTGCACCTTAAAAAGAGTTTAAATGGCACAATCGATGTAATATGTATCTCAAAAAACAAAGCAAAAGAAAAATAAAGACAGCCGAGCGTTGGTGGCGCACGCCTTTAATCCCAGCACTCGGGAGGCACAGGCAGGAGGATCTCTGTGAGTTTGAGGCCAGCCTGCTCTACAGAGTGAGTTCCAGGACAGCCTCCAAAGCCACAGAGAAACCCTGTCTCGAAAAACCAAAACAAAAAACAAAAAACAAAAAAAAAAAAAGACATCTCGGTGGTAGTCACAGATAACAGTAGCAGCGGCGGCAGTTTTTATGGCCTCCCTGGTCTAAAGTTCTCTGCATAAGGAAGTTTCCACTGACTTGTTTGTTTTGAGACAGAGTCTCTCTCTGCGTAGGTCTGGAACTCACAGAGATCCACTTCCCTTTGCCTTCTGAGTGCTTGGATTAAAGGTGTGCTCCACCATGTCCAGCCCTTGAATTTTATAATACATACAAGACACTTGGTTACTAAGTCTGTCGTTATTTTTTCAGATATGGACTTCAGTATCAGAGAGCTTGCTCAGTGAGTAAGTCGTTTGCTGCTCATATGTAAGGACAATGGTTTGGATCCCCAGAACTGTCCTAATGCCCAACTTCATCGTGTGAGTTTGTAACCCCTGCACACCTGTGGAGACGGGGCAGCTACACACAGAAGCCACCTCAAGAAGCTCATGGCCCAGTTAGCCTCAACTGCATAATAGCGAACAAGAAAGCCTGTTTCAGACAAGGTGGGCACGGGGATCCGAGTTACACATAAACACACACCACACAAAGATAAAGACTCTTTTTTAGAAGGACTTAAAGCCGGGCGGTGGTGGCACACACCTTTAATCCCAGCACTCAGGAGGCAGAGGCGGGAGGATCTCTGTGAGTTCCATGTCAGCCTGGTCTACAGAGCGAGTTCCAGGACAGCAATTAAAGGCATGCACCATCGCTGCCTGGCATACTTGAAACATCTTAAGTATGTAGGGTACAGAAGCCTGGGCTCCCTCACCACTGTGAGAGTTTGATTCCCAGTCTTTGAACAAACAAAAGCAAAACAAACCAAAAAACCTACAAAATTTAAAATTCAGCCAGGCATAATGGCAAACTGTGTGCAATCCCAACACTCCAGAGCCTCCAGTAGCTACATAGTGAGATCCTCTCGGAAAACAAAACACAACAAGGTGGTAAGCACCTTAGTCCCAACTGGAATAAAGGAGAGGCAGAGGTATCATAGTGTGCTGGAGGACAGCCTGAACTAAATAGCAAGAGTCTGTCTCTGTCTCTGTCTGTCTCTGTCTCTGTCTGTCTCTGTCTCTCTCTCTGTCTCTGTCTCTCTCTGTCTCTGTCTCTCTGTCTCTCTCTCTGTCTCTCTCTCTCTGTCTCTGTCTCTCTCTGTCTCTGTCTCTCTCTCTGTCTCTGTTTCTCTCTCTGTCTGTCTCTGTCTCTGTCTGTCTCTGTCTCTGTTTGTCTCTGTCTCTGTCTGTCTCTGTGTCTCTGTCTCTCTGTTTCTGTCTCTGTCTGTCTCTGTCTCTGTCTCTGCCTCTGTTTGTCTCTGTCTCTGTCTGTCTCTCTCTGTTTCTGTCTCTGTCTCTGTCTCTCTGTGTCTCTGTCTCTCTGTGTCTCTGTCTCTGTCTCTCTCTGTTTCTGTCTCTGTCTCTCTGTCTCTCTGTCTCTCTCTGTGTCTCTGTCTCTGTCTCTCTTTGTTTCTGTCTCTGTCTCTGTCTCTCTGTCTCTCTCTCTCTCTGTCTCTGTCTCTGTCTCTCTCTCTCTGTCTCTCTCAGGGTCTCATGTAGTCCAGGCTAGCCTCAAGCTCACTATGTAGCTGGAGATGACCTCATTAAACTGGTCCTCTGACCCCAATCCCCTGAATACTGGACTCCAGGTTGTCTGCAGTTCTGGCAATGGAAGCCATGGTTTTATAGTTGCTTGGCAGGTATTCCCCCAACTGGGTCTCGGCCTCAGCCTGAGAACCTGGGTTTCTATGTATCTTTGTTCCCCAATGTTTGTTTGGGCACTTTTTCTTCCTGAAGAAGTTACGAACATGATTTAATATTTTGTTGTTATGGGAGAATGGTGGGGATTAAATTCACAGCCTCATGCTTGTTAAGCCTGTGCTCAACCTCTAAGCCACACCCTTGCCCCACGTACAAAGTTTACTTTTTAAACATTTAGATCCATTTAGAGTTATCCCAGAATAAAAATACTAAATTTTCTTCACAACATTTATTAAAGACTTTGTGTTCATCTGAATAGTTCTTGTATCATCTCAACTCAGTCAACATTCCTCCCCACATCCTGTGTGTGCATGCGTGTGTGTGTGTGTGTGTGTGTGTGTGTGTGTGTTCGTAGGGGTGCAGGTGCATATATGTGAAGCCAGACATCCACATTGGAGGCTAGCCTCAGTTGCTCACCACCTTGGATCTCCCGCTGAACCTGAGTCAGCCATGTGGAAGACTAGTGGTCCCCTGCTCTGCCTCCCCTGCCCTGCCTCCCCTGCCCTGCCTCCCCCTGCCCTGCCTCCCCTGCCCTGCTCCCCTGCCCTGCCTCCCCTGCCCTGCCTCCCCTGCCCTGCCTCCCCTGCCCTGCTCCCCTGCCCTGCCTCCCCTGCCCTGCCTCCCCTGCCCTGCCTCCCCTGCCCTGCCTCCCCTGCCCTGCTCCCCTGCCCTGCCTCGCCAGCACTGGGAGTACCTGCCGCTGTCCACCACACCTGTCTTCTACATGGCTGCTGGGGATTCAAATTCAGGTCCTTGTGCTTGCTCAGCAAACACTGTGACATAAACCCCTCTCCATTTCAGTTTTCTTTATTTTAAAATACTGGCAAAATAGATAATATGATGATGATGATCTGATACTATATAATTTTTGCTGTTGCTGTTTTCGGACACAGGGTCTCACTATGTAGCTCTGACTGTCCTGGAACTTGATCTGTTCAAACTCGAGATATATATATATATATATATATATATATATATATATATATATATATACAGCAGACTCTGATATATTGACCCAGAACTTTACCAAAGAGACTCGTGAGGAAGTCAGAGAGGATCTTATGGGGAAGGCTTTCAATCACAGAGAGGAGACCCCTGGGAGGAGTTAAAGGAAGGGAAGGGCAATTTGGCCTCTTCTGTTATTCTGCATCTTTTGGAAGTGTGAAAAGCTTACCTATTCCTTGCTTGTTTTGAGACGGGTCTCACAGAGCCGAGGCTGACCTGTCAACTTTGAAGTCACTGCACAGCTGAACTCCGGGTCCTGCTGCCTCCACCTCCCCGGCACCGAGATGACAGGCTTGAGCCAGCCCGCCCAGCTTACATACAACCTTTATATTTAGAGATGTTAACTCAGCGTTGCACATTCACGTTGAGTATAGTGCAAACCGAGTAAGAGTCGCCGGAAGTTACCTGGATGATGGTGAATCCAGACCTGAGGATAATGTCGCGTATCTCCTCCTCTTTGTCAACGATGTCCGGCTTGATGATGGCTAGGGTTTTTTCCACATATATCTGAGGCAGGGGCATTGACACCTCCATTCTGGCGTTTCCCGGGACAAGTCACTAATTTCCTGACCCGGTGTCCACTGCAGTGACGCCGAATTCAACCTGTGGCAAAACTTGGCGCTAGGCTTGATGCGTTTGTGAAAACGGAAACTGCCATGTTTCCCGACGAGCAGTCCTGCAAGGACACGACGACGCGTGCGGACCCCGAGCTGAGCCCAGGCGAAGGCCCCGCCCCTCGGCGACCACTCTGCGCAGGGCTGACTGCCCGGGAGAGCCCCCAGCCCCGAGGAAGCCTCCAGGCTCAGCCCCACCAGCGCTCACCTCGTTCCGGTGTTGTCAAAACCCGTTGCTAAGAGACCGGCAGCTGGTTTTCCAACGGTGGCTGCAGAGGGCCAGTCCAGGCAGCGTAGGGCAGGATTAGCCGGGAGAATTTTATTCTTTTTGTGCGTCTTGGAGTACTAGACACATTTCTAACGTTTTTTATCATAATTTTAAAACAGTTTTGTTTATTATGTGTTGTGGTGGTGTGTGTGTGCGTGCGTGCGTGCGTGCGTGCGTGTGTGTGTGTGTGTGTGTGTGTGTGAGATGTGGAGGTAAGAACACAGCTAACTTTGTGTAGTCAAGTCTTTCCACGTCTGAGGTTTCCAGGAATGGACCTCATGTGGTCGGGCTTGCATGCAAGCCTCTTTACCCACTGAGCCCTAGAGCCAGCCCTTCTCTAACTGATCTCTGTCATCCTCGAACCTGCTTGAGAGATGCTTGAATTATCCACATTTTGTAAGTAAATCAGACACGTCTCTCAGCCCACTCGGTTCCCTCCCAGACGCTATATGAAAGATAAATGTCAAGTTTATTTATTCTCGGCATACTTTATATTTTCTCTTTCCTTCCTTCCTTCTTTTCTTTCTTTCTTTCTTTCTTTCTTTCTTTCTTTCTTTCTTTCTTTCTTTCTTTCTTTCTTTCTTTCTTTTTCCAAGATACGGTTTCTCTGTGTAGCTTTGGAGGCTGTCCTGGTGCTCACCCTGTAGACCAGACTAGTCTTGAACTCACAGAGATCCACCTGCCTCTGTCTCCCCAGTGCTGGACTAAAGGTGTGCAGCACCAACACCTGGCTCCTTCCTTTTCTTTTTCTTCTTTAGTTTTGTTTTTGGTGATGTTCAAACTCAGGGCCCATGCTGGACAAGCACTCAGTCTGTGACTGACACCCAGCGTAACCGTTCTTAGTGCCAGCACCTGATGCTGTCCCTCCAGGTGCAGCTGCTTTACTCATTTAAAACGTCTTTGTAAAGTCTGGTGGTGCCGCTGCACAAACCTCGAATCCCAGAACTCTTTGGAGGTGGGTTTCCAGGAAAGCCTGGCTCAAAAAGAAACAAATGAAGTCTTTGGTTTGTGAAATATTTATTTATAGAGAATCAAAGGCTCAATAAAATCACTTCTAAGTCTATGCAACAAAAATATGGGCAATATTTACATAATAAATCCAGATCTCAGCACCCACCCCACCCCTTTAAAACTCTTGTAACTGCAGGCATCATTGGCTTCTCAGGAGGGAAGTTATGCTTACTACCCTTCTTAGGAAAGAGAACGGAGGAGGAGTAAGTCTTCAGATCTTCTCTAACCAGTCTTCAGGAGAGCTATGAACTCGAGAGAGAATCAGATTTGTGGTTCCAGGCTAACAGCACAGTTTTCCTTCATCCACTGGATCAGCTGGTACTCACTCCAGACTACTCAAGTCCTTCCTCTTGTCTAACCAGGTACTCAGCACCTAAAGCAAGGCCAGACACAAACCAAGAACCTCAAACCACATAGGAGAATGCGCAATTCCATCTATTCTTTTTTTTTTTTTTAGCAAACAGTAAGACTACACTTTAAAATGTGATGCTTCCCAAAAGAGAAATCTTTATATGTCTCCTTGAACTTACAATGTCTTATCCCCAGAGATGGGAACTATACATGTACTAATCTACTGTACTGCTAATCACCATCCGTGACCTGTAGCCGTCAGCCATGGGCGGGGGTCCAGCCGCTGACTTGTACTAATCTACTGTACTATACATGTACGAATCTACTGTACTATACATGTACGAATCTACTGTACTATACATGTACTAATCTACTGTACTATACATGTACTAATCTACTGTACTATACATGTACTAATCTACTGTACTATACATGTACGAATCTACTGTACTATACATGTACGAATCTACTGTACTATACATGTACTAATCTACTGTACTATACATGTACTAATCTACTGTACTATACATGTACTAATCTACTGTACTATACATGTACGAATCTACTGTACTATACATGTACGAATCTACTGTACTATACATGTACTAATCTACTGTACTATACATGTACTAATCTACTGTACTATACATGTACTAATCTACTGTACTATACATGTACGAATCTACTGTACTATACATGTACTAATCTACTGTACTATACATGTACTAATCTACTGTACTATACATGTACTAATCTACTGTACTGCTAATCACCGTGCGTGACCTGTAGCCGTCAGCCATGGGCGGGGGTCCAGCCGCTGACTTGTACTAATCTACTGTACTATACATGTACGAATCTACTGTACTATACATGTACGAATCTACTGTACTATACATGTACTAATCTACTGTACTATACATGTACTAATCTACTGTACTATACATGTACTAATCTACTGTACTATACATGTACTAATCTACTGTACTGCTAATCACCGTGCGTGACCTGTAGCCGTCAGCCATGGGCGGGGGTCCAGCCGCTGACTCGCTTATTTGCTCATCCCTGCCACCTTGTCGCTGTCCTCCCAGATAACCTCAGGCCACCGTGTATTAAATAAGCCAACCCTGAGGGTGCGTGCGTCAATGCTTCAGGCCTTTCAGTCACCGCTGGTGACATGCTCCAAGAACGCGGGGTCGCCTCCACATCACCTTTGGTCTTACAGGCTCTACACGTCGGATCCCAGACACCACGCCCCCTTCCTCGCAGCTCTGGGCTCCAGTACCTGGATCTGCTCTAGGACCTCCCGCTGCATCTCCACAGCCATGTGGTAGATGTGATGGTCCGAGTCGTTGTACATCACGGCGTTCTGGAACATCAGCATCAGGTCCCGCTGGAACTCGGCCATGGTGTGAATGCGGCCCTTAGACACGTTCCTCTTCAGGGTTGTCAAGTCCATGGGTCTGCGGGGGCCAAGAGGACATCAGCCCTTAGTGTGCGGGAACCAGTGAACCGGGATCATGGATCTGAGGATAGCTTGAGCTACAGTGAGTAAGACTCTTCTCAAAACCGACAGACAGAGACAGAGCAGAACTGTGGTGTCTATCAGAGCTCTTTGAGAATTGCTCAGTGACAACAGCAGCTGCACAGGCTCACTTTCTTTTATTTTTTGTTATGTCAACTTGGCACAAGCTAGGGTCATCTGTGAGGAGGGAGCCTCAACTGAGAAACTGTCTCCATTCAGCTGTTCTGTGGGGATGTCTGGGGCATTTTTTTAAATTAATGATGGATGTGAGAGGCCCCAGCCCACAGTGGGTTAGTGCCACTCATAGGCATATGGTCCTGGGTTCTATAAGAAAGCAGGCTGAGCAAGCCATGAGGAGCAAGCCAGAAAACACCCCCCTCCACGGCCTCTGCCTCAGCTCCTGCCTCCAGGTTCCTGACTTGAGTTCCCACCCTGATTTCCCTGGATGATGGAATAAACCTGTGGGATGGGATAAACCTTTTTCTCCCCCAAGTTGATTTTGTCCGTGGAATTTATCATAGCAATGGAAAGCAAACTACAAGAGTGGCAAACACATCAATTTTCGTAAAATACTAAAATGGCAGCGGCAGACACTGTCCTTTACAAAGGTCAAGCACTATGTTGGGTGCACTCTATGGTAAACTAATCCTCTCAATAAACATACAATGCAGGCATTACTTAGCATCATCACCATTTTGGAGGCACTGGGTATTGAACCTAGGACAGCGGTTTTCAACCTGTGGATCAGGACCCCTTTGGGGGTCGAACAACCCTTTCACGGGGGTTGACTATCAAATATCCTGCTGCATATTAGATATTTACATTATGACTCATAACAGTAGCCAAATTATAGCTGTGAAGTAGCAACAAAATAGTTTTATGGTTGGGATCACCACAACATGAGGAACTGTGTTAAAGGGTCACAGAGTTAGGAAAGCTGAGAGCCAGTGACCTAGGTAGGGCCTTACTCGTCCTAGACAAGTACCTTCCCTTTAAGCCTTCATCCCAGCCCCCTTTTCGCTTTTAGAGACAGGGTCTTCTGAGATCGCCAGGCAGGCCTTGAACTTGCTATCCTCCTGCATTGTCACAGGCAGTTAGAATCTCAGGCTTGCTGACACAAGGCCCACTGCTACCACTGTTTTGAGACGGGGACTTTATCGGGCATGGTGGCATATCATGCCTTTCGTCCTAACGCGTGAGAGGCAGGAGCAGAGGGGCCATGTGTCTTGCCATTGCTTGTGCTGGCCTGGACTCATGCTATTCCCGCCTCACTTTCAGGAGTAGGGATAGGTGTCAACATGTTTTCCATTTGACAGATGCAGAAACTGAGGTCTGAGGAGATTACATGCTGCTTTTTTTCTGGCTATAACCATGGATCTGCCAAAGAGAAGAAAAAGGAGGCTCCTGCTGTGCCAGAAACCCTTAATAGAAAACGAGAAGAGATTTCAAGGTTGGAAGGAAAAGCTCTTGAAAAGAAATGCTCCCAAAGATGCCCCAGAAGACACAGAGGAAGCTCACTGTGAAAAAGCCAAGCACTGTCACAAGGAACACACACAGATGTGTAGAACCACGGCTCCAAAGGCCAGGCCAAGAGAGGCTGCCAACTCCATGCATGTTGTAGTTTCCGTGTCAGCTCCAGTCCCTGCGTGTGAGCAGCTGGACCGCAGCTGATGGAGTGCTTGAGAAGGTCGTGGGGTCTTTAGAAGGTAGGTCCCTGCTGGAAGAGGTGTGTCGTGAGGAACACACACCTCCTGCTCTCTCCCTGCTTCCTGCGGACCAGCCAGGGTCTTGGTCCTGCCATCGTGCTTTCCCTGACTACACCCCTCAGAACTGTAAGACAAAATAAGCCTTTACCTCTTTAGCTCCTTTTTTTTTAATGTTTGTTTGTGTATTTTACACAGGATCTCTCAAAGCAGCCCTAGCTGTCCTGGAATTCTCTATGTAGACCAGGCTGCCCAGAATTCATGGAGATGCACTTACCCCTGCTCCTTGGAGTGCACCACCACACCCAGATCTAAGTTGATGTTTTTTTCTTTGTTTGGCTTGGCTT